TTTAATATACTATATTTATGCGCACATTGCATGTATGCCAAGACCGAAAATTTGTGTGTGCATTTTGCAGAAGGGGACACTTCTTGTTTACCAATGTCAGGTGTTATTTTCGAAAAAAATACATTTTTCGAAGAAATTAATAAACAAGATCCCCCTTGAATATCACTTTGTTTTTTTATGAACTAAATTAGGTGTGTGCACACATAAATAGGTATATAATGTACGAAACAAAAGGAAACGGAAACCGAAAGATAACTATCGAAAATGTGTGAGATCATTATTTTTTTTCCACTGCGAAAGGAAGAGTGTGTCTATTTCCCTTGTGGAACACCGGAAAAAGGAGAAAAGTTTTGATCTATTTTTACCTGAGAGAGACAGAGAAAGAGAGAGAGAGAGAGGAAAAGGTACTTTCTAGCTCGTTTGCATATTATAAACCCCTCATTAACAAAAGTTGCGATGATGACTTAAAAGGTTTTTAAGATATGTCATTTATATTTGGCCCTTAAAACGCCCTATGAAGTTTAGTTTCATAACCACATCAAATGAAATAACTATTAAGTGTGGAATTTTGAGATGAAAATTTTATTTTACTTTTTCTTTTTTTTATTTTCTTTTTTTTTCTTTGAAAATATCCATTTAAACTGGAAAAATTTGAACACCTCTATAACGGAATTCAAGAAAGGAATTTACGAAAGGTGGAGAAAAGACGAAAATATACCACACGCTGATAAATTTATAGATTGGGGAGAATTTTTCCTATTCTTAAAACTGAAATAAAATGTTTTTATTGTTATTTTCTAACAATAAGCAATTTTGAATTTATTTACCTACTTGAAATGTAACTTTCTGCTCTTTTTTATAATTTTTAATTTATTTATATTGTATATTATATTTATTATACTTCATTATAACTTTTATAATTATTATTACAGCATTTATTATTAGTTATTTTTAACAATTGTATTATAATAAATTATATAAAATAAATTATATTTATTATAAAATAATTACATAATAAGCATAATCAGGGTGGTCACAAGTTACAGTTTATCAGTTTCCCTAACATTTCCCTGACAATTTACTGACATTAAAATTATGTTCTCTGACAACATTCTTTTCACAGGAAAATTTGAGAATTTACGGAAAATGAGTATAATTTATGAAACTTAATAATTTCTAAAAATTACAATTATAACCCTTCCTTAATTCAAACATTTTCTATATAATTTTCAACTAAACTTCATCTTTAAATTAATTATTTTAAATAATTTTCTGAAAGTTCTTCAAGAATTAAATTATTTAAATACGAAAATTCAATTTTTTATAATTATTGTAGCTTTCCATGTTTTTTTCTCAAGTTTATTAAGGTATAATATTTTCAAAAATAAAAATAATCAACTTTTTGAAGAATTTTAATTTATTATAAATATGACCATTATTTCTCCGAAATTTTAATAAGTCTAAAAAAGTACATTTTTATTTGCTATATTCGAAGATAATTAAATCTTAAAAAATTATGATAAAAAAATTCTAAGAATTAAGTAGTTTTTAAAAATGTTGTAATGTAATTTTTCAAAAACAATTGAATTTCTTGAGTTTTTGTATTATTGAAAAAAACTAATTAATTTTTTGATAAATTTTAATGAAATATTTTGAACATGATTTTTTTCCAAAATGTTAAAAATAATTCTAAAATGTTATTATGTTTTGTACTTATTTGAATTTTCGGAAATATGTAATTGAAAGTACTGAAAATACTAAATTTAAAAAAATTAAAAGCTAATTTTCATTATTAGTTTTCATATTTAAATCTTTATTTAAAAGTTCCCCATTAAAATTTTAGATAGTTCAATTATTTTGAAAATTTGCAATTAAAATTCTTCAAAAGTTGATTTTCAAAAATTCTAACAAAAACACTTTTAAAAAATCAATTATTTTCGATTAAATTTTAAAACATTTCAGTTATTCAAAATCTTTTTAATTGTACATTTCGAAAATTTAAATAGAAAAATGATTCAAAAATAATTTTTGAAAGATTTGTTTATAGTTATTTTTCGCACTATAAAAATTGAAATTTTAATACTAAAAAATATATTTTGTTGCATTATTTGGAAGAAAAGTCGAGAATTTTTTTAAAGTAAATCATAAAAATCTCAATTTTCTAAATTTCTCTGACAAAAAATTGTTTTTCCTGACATTTCATGACTTTACTGACAAAAATTTTGTTTTACTGACATGTGGCCACCCTGATAATTTATTATGAAAATATTTATAATAAATAATAATAATAATAATAATAATAATAATAATAATAATAATAATAATAATAATAATAATAATAATAATAATAATAATAATAATAATAATATAAGAGATGATATTATAGTAATATTTCTACTAGTCATTCATATAGCTAAACAATTAATTATTAGTTAATCTCACTTTAAAGGTATGTCAAATAAACTAAAAAATTTCAAAATATAGTCAAATTTGACAATTTTTTCAATTAAATTTTCCTATTAAAAAATAGTTATATTTTGTTAATAATTAAAGAATTTTTACTAATCGCTAAAGTTAAAATCAGAAAAGAATGAAAATAACAAATAATTACTGTTATAACTAATTAGAATTTAGAAAGTAAAGTTAAGGGAAATAAAATTCTTTCCGCTTGTGTGTAATCATTAAAAATTGATTTAAGATAAAGAGCAAAAATTTTTAACAGCAAGAAAGATTTAGATAACGTAATCTAAAATATTCGTAATAGTGAAACAATTAAATTTGGATTATGACATATTTAAAAGAATAAGAAAAAAATCATTAAAATTGATAAACTATTTTTGCTTAATTTAAATATTCTATTAATAATAAAAAATTGATGTAATAATAATTATAATATTAGAATAATAATAATAATAATCATAATAATAAAATAAAAATATTTATAATTTATAATACTAATGGTTTTAAATAATTAAAAAATACTAATAATAGTTATATCAATTATAAATATTAATATTATAAATATTATAAAATACAAATAATAGAAAATAACAAAACTAATAGAACTATAGAAATATAACTGAGTTCGGAATTTTTTTCGAATTCTATAAAAGTAAAATAATTACAATTGAACGTTTACTTGAAAAAAATAAATTATTCAATACTACAGAATATATCTTATCACCTCTCTCATGTGATAATATTGATTTTAAGATACCGCAAGCTTCAAAACTGTTCTATATTTAATTATGTCACTTGTTTGTATATCAACAGTTATGTAAATATAAAATAAATAATAAGTTCCGAAAAAACGTCTTATAACCCCAAAACCTGTTGAATATATATCGATTTTAACTTTAATTAATTCTAAAACACGCGAATCAGAGGTAAAAAAAACAACTTTATTTTTCTCCTTAAATTAACAAAAAAAACTTAAGACGCGCAATTTTATTTCCTTCTTAGAATATATAAGGTAAAGAAAAAAAACTCTTTGGCAAAGAATATTCATCCTTTTAATTAAGATCGACGTAGATCCTATTCTTCATTTCTTATGTCTATTACGAAAAAGAAAACGAGATCGAACTTTCTGCGCCGTGAAAGATGCGAATTCAGAGAAAGAATCTATTCAAACAAAAAATAATTATTTGACTTAATAATAAGTCGAGACTATTCAGAAAAAAATGAAAATTCTATAAAAGATAAGATTAAGCAGTGGATATTCATGAATAATTTAAAATATCATCGACTAATTAAACTAATGAGATGTTTGAATGATAAACTAATTATTTCTCTTGGTCGAATTTCTCTTTTTTTGAAATGTGAAGAAAATTTTGTATTTTCTATTTTGCTCGAGTTTAAATGCATGTAATATGAATTCTCCCAAGAACAGTTATTAAAATAAACTTTGAAATATATTCACAAAAAGGATAAACAAGTATATAGAATTTCTGTATAAACCGAGTAAAGTTTATAATTTTGTAGGCAGCAACAAAATAATATAGTTCACTTTACATTCAGATTTCAATAATGTTCTTAACAAGCTACTAATATTTAACAAAGTAAATTTCAGCAGATTATTCTGACGAGAAAATACGAAAACAGAAAAGGGATAATTATTTTATCAGATATTCTTGCTTTATTATAAATTTATATAAATGCAGAAAACATGAATTAATTAACAAAAAAAAGGGTTGGAAAAAAATTCTATTTAACTGGTATACTAATTACAAGAAACGTGAAAAATTGTTAATTATTATTCAAAAAAAGTTAAAGTTAATTACATCATTCACTCACTAAGAGAAAAAAAATAGAGCGATTGCCTTCGGTACTAAAGTCAAAATTTAATTCAATTTTTTTTAAGGGATAGAATTTTAAAATCGCAACAATTAAATAATGAACTACCTGGAAAGAGAGCAATAAACTCGAGGAATCTTTCGAGTGTCGTTCAGTTCGTGAGAAAACGCAAGTAAACAATAAAATATATTTCCCGAGGAAACATAATAAAGATTTGCCAAGAGATACAAAAGCAGAAAAAGAAATAAATAAATCCTAAACTTAAATTTTCGAGAGAATTGATAAATATCGAGTGTATTACTCATATCTGTATCAAACATCTTTTAACAAGAACGGCTAAATTTTAATCATGTTTGTAAACATAACTGCGAACTTTTTTTTTGATCTAGAATATCGTTCACATTATGAAACAAGTGTTAACTTTGTTGATCAATAATTATACCACTTGCACACACCTGTATTATTTATAGTTCATGGAACCGACCCGCTTACATATATTCCTACACACTAATAAGACGTAAAAAAGTAATAATTAAGGATAATTTTCATCGCGATTCAATAAAACACTGTGAAAAAAAATTGGAAGTAAATTTTTTTCGTCAATTTTCACGCGCGATGAAAAAAATTAGGTTATGTTGACTTCTATGCAGATTCATAAGGGGGGGAAATTGTTCTCGTGTGTAAAAAAAAGAAATGAAAAAACTCACCTTTAGCGAATGTGATGCAAAGCAGTGCGATGAAAAAACCGGCCCGGAAGATCATCTTGAATCGATATTGATTGCTCGTTTATGGCTTCTGCGAAGAACACTATACACAACTTAAAAAAATTCACACTAACTGTTTCCCTGTCACTGTTTCTTTCAATTATATTTTTTTTTAAACCAACAAAATCACACTATATGCACTTGTTTCCTCGATGTACGGGACGCAATTTTGTTAACCGGCTTGGCACAGAAACTTCCAGTTAGCTCGACGCACAAACACCGTCTGGCGCGCGTTTTCCTTTCAGATTCCTTCGTGCATACTCGGCCGAGAGCCGATTCAACCCGAGCGAGCAGTCCGGCCGTTAAACCATTCTCAAAAAATTTAAACTCGTTTCACCTTCTCTCCCACGGAACAATAGCGTACCTGCTTCTGTGATTTTTTTCAACCTGAAAACAAAATTCAAGTCAACTTTTTTCATGGAAGAATGGAGTGATGAAATGTGTACAGGGACACTACTGCCAATTCACATTTCAGCACCAAAATATGCATAGGTAAGCAAAAATTTTACATTATTATGAAATTTAACATTACCAGTTAGCTAATTTTCACGTTTATTGAGTGCAGGACGTTTAATTTTACTCGTAAATTAGTCTTTTTTCTTCCGTAAATGCAGGAATGACCACTCGCTCCGAACTTGACAAAAAAACAAAATGGCGTCGCATTTCTCCATCTCGAGGGGGGAGGGTGGGGATATTCAGCAAATATCGCGCCAAAAAAATTAAGGGCTCATCCATAAACTAAAAAAATGCACTTCGGAAGAATTAAGCTTTTTGCAAATTGCAAGAACCAGTAGAAAAAATGGCGCTAATGTACAGGGCTTAACAGTGGGTGGTAATTTATGGACGACCCTTAATAATGTATTTTTTTATTGATTGATTGATTTTCTTTTGTTTTGTTTGTTACAGTTGAAATTTAACAATGTTTATTATTTTGTTTTAAGAAAAATTGTTGTATGTTCTAATGACGAATCAAATGTCTCACCAAAAAAAAGAAATTAGGTAAATATACGATAACTAATTTTCGAACAAATCGGAAAAAATGCAAAATAGCAGTATGTTTTATTGGTTAATAATAGTTTTTTAAAATGTCAATATTGCACATAACCTTCTAATCATAGATTGATGCAATAATTGCAATCTCCACAATTTCACAACATTTTTAGTAATTTTTTATGTTTCTTGTATATTTTGATAATTTTTTGTGATCTTTGCCTATTTCAATCAAATTAGAGTTGATATTTATTAGTTATCCGAGTTAAAAGAATGAAAATATTGGACTTTTTTTTAATACAATAAATTACGAATAAAAAGATTGAATTTTAAGTTATTTTGTAAGAATAAAACTTGTGAAATATAAAAATAAGTTTTCTGTGACGATTTCTTATTTTAATCATAATTTCTTATTGTTGCAGTGAAAATCAATAATTACCAGTAATCAATATTATTATTGATAATATAATCAATATTGTTGGTAATATAATCAATTCGATAAGAGGAAAAAAAATTCTAATGAGTCGAGAGGAAGGTAATTAATTACGTTTATTAAAATCTATTTTAGTGACAAATTTTCATCAAAAATTAATTTTTTCAGAAGAAAATTTAGCACTCTGCTTTCTTTCTATTGTCTGGAGATATTATTGTCATAATATTATCAATATTGCATTAAATAACAATACGTATTTAAACAATGAAACGAATGAAACATTAAAAATACTTAACATAACCCCAATTATTATTAATTCTATAATTTTTAATGATTTTAATTTAATTACATAAAAATGTCCACCGAAATGAACAATTCCTTTTGATATCAAATTCAATATTTATACATTCCATTATTTTATTATTCTCTTTTTTTAATAATTAAAAATAATTTCTAAAAATTAAAATTGAGCATAACCACGTAATTTTATTTGTTAAAAATTATCTCTTTCGATATTAAATAATTTATCTCTATATTTCTGATTTGAATTAATTGTAAATTTTAATTATAACTTTTCAATAATAATTTATATATAAATGACAGACAAGATTGTCTTTGAAAATTTTCCGTTACATATCATTAAACATATTTTGATTGTAATTTATGAAAACTAATTATAGGGAATAGAAGCCGGGTTACCTTTTCCATCTCTCTGGAGGAGTCCCTAAGCACTTATATAGTTCGTCCCTCAGTCCCCAGACACCCATTAAGAATTTCCATTACTTTTCCTGATAGTCCTGGGATTTTCTCTATACAATTTCAATTGAATTATTTGAAGCGGAAAATATTTTCAAGTTCAAAACTATATATAAATTATTAATATAAAAATATACTATAATTATATAGTATAGAAAAAATATTTCCCTTTTGTTTCTATGAAAAATATTTATTACCCCTAATTTTAGTTATATTTCTTTTTTAAAATTTTTAGTTTCAATATTATTCATATTTTCGACAATTACAATTTATTTTGTTATTTATTCAGAAGGGAAAATAATAATCCTGGTGAATAGCAACCCAATTTACGTATCGTCAATCAAATCATACAGATATTTTCATTCGTTTGATATGTATATATAAATATATAGTTTGACTAAAATGTTTATCAAATATCCCATATGCATAAATGAAAAATTAAATTTTCCATGAAGCATAAAATACGATTATGAAAAATTGACATATTTATATATATACATAATATTGAAGTATATTTCGTGTGATAATTACTTAGAAAATCGATTTTTGATGTATAGTGTATAATTATCGTTTTCGCATTCAATCAACTTATAATCTTGTTACAGAAGTGTACCAGAGTTATTTTAATTGAAAAGTGGAATTCTTAATCTGACCGCAAGGGATTTACACGAATTCGAAAACGGGGATACGTTAAATTTGATTGTTGACGTAATATACAGGTATAGTATATATTTAATTATTCCAAGTCGATTAATATTAATTATTAGTTAAATTAATTTACATTCATCTCTATTTATTAATTATATTAAAAATAATTTAGTTAATTTATTCATTAAATAAATTAAATTACATATATAATGAATCGCACGAAAACAAAATATTAAATTTACATTGGTTCATTAATTAATTGATATGTTCTGTAAAATTTATTTTAGATTTCAATGAAAATTTCGAGGTAGTTCTGTGCCCCTTTTGGGCGTGATATTATTTATTGTAGAAAAATTTAATTTGAAGGAAATAAACTTTTAACAGGTGGGAATTTCGCCTGGCGTTAATTACTAGTCATAGTTAATTGACAGGTGTGGACTATTGTAGCAGTATGACGTTCGGAAATTGAATTTCGATGACAGGCTCAAATTATTATTAATGAGTCCTTCTGTATGTTACACAGAGAGTACTTTAAATCAATTCAAGTATCAATATTGTGGAACATAATTATTCGCATTTATTGGAAATCTTTTCTTTTTCTTTGTTTTTTCGCATCATTTGATCTTTTCAGATTCTAAATATTTTTATTATTTTATTTCTATTATTATTTTTATTATTATTATTTCCATTATTTTTCATAGTTAGAATAATTTTTCCTTGCATTATAATAATCATAAAGAACTTCTGTTTCGTCGTGTTATTAAAAAATTTATTTCTATTTTTAATTATTTGATCCTTTTCCAAAATTGAAAAAAGTCCTTTTTAATTATTATTTATTATTCAATTTTATAAATTAAAATTGTTGAATTGAATGAATTCAACAGAAATTGTTGAAATTGAATTTCATTAAAATTTGTTTCGAAAATTCGTGGAATAAGATTAAAAACAATGTCTTGAATAGCATTTGTAAATTCTTTACTGAACAGTTTCTATTATTTTGCAGAGGAGAAAGAAGTTTCAGCGCACGGAATTGGGACTCTCCGCACCGTTTTCAATTTCCTGGTGAGGCGGTCTGTTTTGTACTAGACAAGTCGACGAAACTTGGTACGGCGACAAGAAAAGTCGGTCTAATTCAAGATTTGTAACTAAATTACACTGGTTTAAAATCCACTTTTCCTCTGGGAGAGAAGGAAATTGTAATTCTTCCCTGATATTAAAGACGGATTTTCAAAATCAAGGTGAGTACATTTTTTTATATTAAAATTAAAATTTCGATTCTAATTTTCGATGTAAGTTTTTTTTTAATTAATAATTTTCTGAAAGGAAATATTAATATTTTTAAATTCAAGGAGTAGCAAATATTCTCTATTGATTCGTAAGTTTTCGAAAGGAAGAATCATATGTCGCACTTGAGAAAAAATTACATTACGTCTGGAACTTTTCTTGAAATTCAAATGTGAATCTAATTTATTCCATTTTGGGAAAAAAAAATTTTTTTAATATGTAGGTCAGGGAATTTAGGAAGATAAAAAATCTGATTCTCCTGGTACATAATGCATTATTCAATGCAAATGTTACAAGGAAGTCGATAATTGGACGTGCCAAGGAGCCATTGAATGTAGCGCACAATGTCGTCTGGCATCGATTTTCAATAGTCGGTTTTGACAGTCACTTTCATTTCGGAATATAATGCGCTTCCGATGCTTACAGGCGAAAGAAATTATCCGACATTTTACAGAAAGACGTCTTCTTCGTGAGCCAACTTTGAAAGAAGAAGAAGAAGAAGACGACGACGATGAAAAAAAAATTAAAAGTCAGAATTTTTGATTTCAATCAAATGAATTTATTTCATTTTTGTCGAAAAATTTTTCCCTGGTAAAAAAAATAGAGGACTGAAAAAAAGAGAATAAATCAAATAATTTTACTAACCACTGAAAAGGACTTTTATATATCTAGAAAAGTTAGAAATGAGATAGAACAAAAAAAATGTTCAAAGCATATAAATAGAGCATATATATAGAGAATGAAAAGGGACAGTGCAAAATTCATATATGAATAAAGCCACAAATTGCATCCGACAGCTGCGGTTTTCATTGAGAGGCTGTAATAAAGCATTAATAGGAGCAAAAAAAAAAATGGAATTTTTTTTTTTTTTTGAACGAGGAAGTTGAGCGAGAAAAGAAGAGGGCCACTTTTGGACCTCAGTCTTTTCTCATTTTATTCTAATTATGCCGACCGTATAATTGTGAAATGTTGACCACAAAATGTGCTCTGGAAGATCCCGACATTCCATTATATACAAAAGGTATCCCCCGCGTTTCGACAAAAGCTCTCCGCGAGCGAAATTCTAACATGTTCAAAGTTTACTAAATTACCAAGCACGAAAAGCTCTTATAATATCGGTAATTTCACAAATTAGCTATTAATTTGTTATAAAATACTAGAAAATTATAACAGAACTTAGAATATTTTTAATTCGAACTATTGAATTTTTAATCAGAAGTAATATTACAATTAAAAATTAACATTAACAATATTATAATTATAACAC